GGCAGGACCCGGGGGCGGGGCGGGCCAGGTTTTGCTCATCTCTGAGTTCCGCTGATGCTGACAGATTGCAGCAGCGGTTGTGTGCGTCTCACCTGTTTTAGGAGCTTCTTGAGGGCAAAATCGTTCGCTTTTGTTTGCCGGCCACAAATCAAAGCACTGGAAGCGAACGTTTACAGAGAGCATCCCCTGTCCCAGGCACTTTGCTAACCACTTTCTACTTTCTTGGTACTGCCGCGGCAGACTCTATGCACAAATAGAGTTGCCATTTTACCGCTGTGGAAATTGCAGATCCTTGAGGTTCAATGAAGATCCTGTACCACAGAGTAGTAGATGGAAGTGGTGTTTCAAACCTGTAATCCCAGCTCCCTGGGAGGCTGAAACGGTGAATCACAAATTCAAATCCAGCCTGGGCAATTCAGCGCTTTAGCAAATTTTTGGGGGAAAAAAAAAAGAGAGAGAGAAAGAGAGAAAGAGCATTGGGAATGCTGATTAATGAAAAGTCCCTGGATTCAATCCCCAGTACTGAAAAAAAATTTATTTAGAGCAGTTCTTGATTAATTGTAAAATTTAACGTGGAGATCAGAAAGTTCTCTCCGGACGTGTTGACACTGAGACAGGAGGATCACCATCAGTTCGAGACCAGCCTGAGGCTACATAAGGAGTTCAAGCCCATCCTGGACTACATAGCAAGACCTTATCTTTAAAAAGTTTTTTTTTTAAATCAGGGATTCCCCATATCCCCTTTTATCCCCTCCCCACATGCATATCCTGCCCTCATTATCAAAATCCCCTAACAGAATGAAACAATTTACAAAACTGAGGAACCTGCACTTTCCATCATCTACCATTCAGTATTACATAGTTTCACTGCCCTAAAAATATCTGTGCTCTGCCTATTCATCCCTTTCTCTACTTGACACCGGAGATCTCTGTTTCACTTTTGTTTTCTGTTTTGTTTTAGTACTGGAGCTTTAACCCGGACCTTCACACTGAACTACAATCCATCCCTTTTTAAATTTTGAGATAGGATCTCAGTACCTTGCTTAAGTTCCCCGGACTGAGCTTGAACTTGCCATGTTCCTGCTTCAGCTTCCCCGAGTTCTGAGATTACAAGTGTATGCCTCAACACCTGGCTACCTTTTACTGTCTCTGTAGTTTGCCTTTCTCAGAAGGTCAAATAGTTGGAACCACTCCATGCATAGTTTTTTCTTTTTTCTTTTTTGTAAATGTGGGAGAGATCTCCTGAAAATTTTCCAAAAGCATCTCTAAAGTCCAAAACTCCATCACGAGGAAGTTCACCCACCTCTGCATTGATGGTTCTCCATAAAGTTAGTTACTCAGTCCCACCCCCCAAAGCATGGTTTCCTTGCTCCTGAAGACTAGGAAATCAACAGACTGGCCCACTGCAACTCATGGATTCATAGAACCATAGATTTAGAGATGAAAGCACCTTGGTGATCCTCGGTCCCATCTCTTATCCTACACAAGGCTTCAAAGAAGTTGAGGTGAGGTGATCAAGTGATAGATCAAAGCTCTCGTCTCTGCTCATCTCTCTTCCATGTTCTTTGCCTTTCCACCTACCTTCTGTGCACCGACCCACCAGAGTTCGCTTTCTTTATAACTTGTTCCCTCTTGTTCCATTTGTTCTGAATTAATGTCTGACCCTTTGGAAATCCAAGCACCTTTCTCTGGCAAGGACATGTTCTTCTTTACTTCATTCATAATTTTCACTAAGAGGTGTGCATTTACCATGGATGTATTTACCCCCATTTTCTACCACAATATCTGGGGCAGGGCAAAGAGAGCGCGGCAACTTCCTGTATATATAATATTATGCATTTATTCCCAGCTGCTTTCTAAACTGATACATAGGGTTTTTTAACTGGCTTCTTTCACCTAGTAGTATGCACTTAGTTTCCCTCCATGCCTTTTCATGGATAAATCATTTCTCTGTGGCAGTGAATAATACCCATTGAGAAGCATCACAGTTCATTCCCCTCCTGAAGCATTACAGTTGAATGGGCAATAAATAGTCCAGGTTCTTTGGCACCACAAGGAAAGAACGGCCAAGCATACACCTTATTTATGTAGTAAGTAGCTACATTTATTAAAGGTCACAAGATGGGAGCAGTAGGAACAGGCAGAAGGTCAAAGAGAAGAAAGGAGCAGGAAGAGGAACTCAAGGTCATAGGCGAAGCTGCTGGTGGTGGTGGTGAAGTCCTCGTGAAGGAGCTCAGGGCGGTGTTGATGTTGCGGGAGTGGGTATGCTTGGGCCTGGTGTGTCCACACTCACAGCAGACTCCTGGATTCACTGGCCCAATTTAACCCTTGATGTCGCAGGCTTCCAGTACTTAAAGGCCAGGCACCTATAACTTAAGGTGCCTCCCATTCTGTCTCTCACTGGTGTCCACAATCTGCCGCTTCAGGCATTGTAAACTCCTAAGCTAAAACATCAACAGTTTTTTGGGTGATGTAACATTTATAGTTCAATGAAGAGAAGGGAGTGGCTCCCTCAACTTTTCTGGACAGATTTTCTAACTGTACTAGAAAGACAGTGTGATTTCTTCCAACGTACTGGCAATTACAAATAAAGGTGATGTTAATGCCCATGTGCAGGTTTGTGTGGATATAATAAGTTTTCAGTACCTTTGTGTAAATACCAAGGAGGGTAATTGCTGGGACATATGGAAAGAGTATGGTCAGTTCTATAAGAAACTCCCAAATTGCCTTCCAAAGTGGCTGTACCATTTTGCATTCACACTTCTAAGTAGCAAATGAGAGTTCCTGTTTCTCCATGTTCTTGCCAGTGTTTTGTGCTGTCATTGTTCTAGATATTGGACTTTTTAATAGCTCTGAAGTGGTATCTAATATTGTTTTAATTTGCACATAATGACAGAAAATGTGGAGCATCTTTTTATATGCTTTATGTCATTCATCAAAATATTTTCATGAGGGATCAAACTCAGGACCTTGTGCTTGCCAGGAAGGCACAGCACCACTGAGCTACATCCCAATATATACATATAATTTTTTTTTTTTTTTTTTGCTGAGG